GACGTGATAATGAAGGCTGTAACTTTAGTTTCAACTATTAGATTGATGTCAAATTTCATATTTGTGAATATTTGAAGTAGCTTTACTTTCATAAAGTTGAATTCAGATCATAACCCTATGTAAGGAAACACTTTATTCTTGAAAATATTCATTGAAAATGCAATTCTATCGATTTCTTTGAATATTGCCTGAAACTGATATCTGAGGTCTGTTTACATTAAATGTTTATAATGTAAATGTGGAAAATATAACTCACAAACTCAGAAAAAGTTATTTTTTACGAGTTACTTTTTCTGAAAAATCCTGTAGCTTACACCACAAAAGACGCTGAAAATTATGTGGATATTGTAAAGAAAACTAATGCATATCGTCGTGAAAATAATGCTGATTTACCAATTAGAAAATTTCCTGGAGATATTTCCACCTTATAAAATCTCATTCACAAAAAACTCGTCCTAGATCTGATTCAATACCAACATCTCTATCCAGAGGTGTACTCACCAGAAATATGACAAAAAAAAGGAGGTGAAATTTCAATATGATAATGAACCTATTGATTATATATATATTTTGAGACTACAATGAACTAGTAGATAGATAGCAGCTGGCAACACTACTAGTCACAACAATGAAATTATTTCAATCATTGAAGAGTTACGTGAAGGTGCAATAATTTTATAAATGTATGGTGTTTTACTTCATTTTCTTATTATTCAAAATGCCACTGAACAAAATCAATCAACATTTTTTACCAATTCTTCTTCTTCCATTTTTTCAGAATATATCGTTACAGCACTACCGCCACCACAAACAGATTTACCATTTTTATTTGTTAGTCTTCTAAAGTCCACAGTAAATGTATATTAACTCTTCGCGGTAGCAAAAGCCTTTCTTCCAGTCAACTTCATTATATATTGGACAATAATAATAGTACTACTTATACGATTTCGATTACAGGAAAAATTGAAAATATTCAATATTTCTCCAGTGCATTGAAAATATCCTATCAAAATCAAAACGATACTTTAGACAATCTTTTGTACCATGATATTCTCAAAAAAGGTGACACTATTCAATTTCTTTCAGAAACCTCATAAAAACTTGCGTCCAATTTCACATTGAATTTCTAATTCAATGCCCTTTGGAGAAAGGTGAATGATATGTTGAATATTGATTGAAACTAAACATTTTTGGAAAAATAAAATTTTTATTTAGAAGAAAATTGCTTCTCAGGTCTCTCCTTTTTGCAGATTCATAATCTTTCTAAGATCTGACACGTACCTTTTGATCTTCCGCCTGCTCATCCTTCGAATTATTCTTCTTTTTCACTTGCCACATTCATGATAATGTTTATTTTCTAATTCCATTCTGTTTTTGTCAGAAGGTTTCACGTTCAGGTGAATTGAAAATTCCACCACGGTCGTTTATGAATCTAGTTATCACTTTGATAGGTCTTATCTGCTTACACTCTATACAAGAGCCAATGAGCAAAATAGGTTTGTTAACGAAACAGTGGTATGGTAAGTATTGTAACTTAATAGCTCTACAAATACAACATATTTTCTTCTGAACTACTACTGAGTACATACTCATTCAGTACTCGACAATAATTTCAATTTGTATATATTCTAAATTTCCCCCTTTTTCCTCATTCAACTTGTAAACGATTCTGAAGACAAAGTGTTGTCGCTCTCACAATAACAATCTCGCGGTTAAACTTTCAATTTATTCTATNTTAACTGACAAGTTTGATATTCACTTCTAAAATTAGTTACATTTTTCTTTTATTTGTTTACAAATTTTGTATAACCTCACTAATATCTAAATATTTTAATTTTATCAGAGTATAATTAATTGTTCGGCAAAATTCGCGGCAAGCCATTTCTCATAAGAAATGTGCGGGGTCCTCTATTAAAATATTCAGGAAACATTTTGCCAACCGAAACAAAATTGATCTTCATATTCATTGCAACACCGAAACAACCGTTAGTTTTTAAAGAAAAAATCGCACTCGGTAAACAGGTAGAATTCAGATTATTTTACTTACTTGCTGAACTGTTGTCTGAAATCATTTGAAGGGATTGAATTACATTAATTTCACTAAATAAAAATCATGTGGTGCCATGAGATTGATATAATTGTTGGTGAAGGCGCGAGGTCTTATCGTGAAGCGGCCGCTGAATTCAATAGAGGTAGGTGTACACCCTTGATCTGTCCATAAAAAATTCCTATAATCTTTTCGTGAGCACCAACCGAGTAACAATGATACCTTTTTGGCTGCTTATGAAGCTGTTCCTAGAATTAGTTTGAGAAACTTATCGCTTCAACTCAATATGAGCCCCAGTAAAATATAGAGGTGTTTAAACAGGCATCGGTGGAACTAAGAGGTCATTGAAAGTTCGCATTGCTGAGCACGAGAAACACACACAGCGAGGAGAAACCAGCAAATCCGGAATAGCAGAGCATGTTTGAACTCATCAACACAACATCAAGTGGGCTCAAGCTGAAATCATTCACAAAGAGGAACACTGGTTTAGGAGAAAATTCAAAGGAGCCGCGTGTATGTTGTCTAACAACGCATTTAGCTAGCGAAGGGATACGTAACATATGGAAATCTCTAATCAAACGAAAAACGACCAACTCCCGCCAAAACCAATTATTTAACTTTGTTATTTTGGTTGTTGTATGTTATTTATTTATGATTTCAGTTTTTTGTTTAATGAAATTGTTATTTTCAGTTAATCTTTTTGATTTTTTTCAGGGTTATCAAATCAATTTATATTATATTAGACAATGGAAGTTCTAACTGATGAAATACACCACGAAACATTGTCAACCTTCAAACAAAGGCATGAAATACATGCGTTCAAAACCAAATCTCTACACATTCAGCACGAAGGAGACGAAATCCGCCGTATGGAGTATTGTTTATGGATGCAGGGAAATTATCCCAATGATAGGATTTTTTAAAGTATATCTTCTACCTACAGTGATGAGGCTACCTTGGGCTGAACAAAATTCAAATAGGATGGTGAATTGAAGAGACTAAATATCTCAGAAAATTAAGGTGTGGTGTGATATTCTGAACGAAAATATTATCGGGCCATTTTTTTCGATCAAAATCTGAACGGACGACTATTCGATGATTTTCTCAAAACTGCATTTTTCCATGTGTTGGAAAAACTACCTTTAGATGTGAGACACAACATGATATTTCAATATGAAGGTTCACCATCAAACAGTACAAAGTATGATCCACGGACAAAGTATGATGAGCTGGTGGAAATGATCTTTGTGAGAATCAAAAACACAGAATACGGAGCGAAACCCAAAAAAACTGCTGCAAGTTCAGCGAAAGCTTGATAAAATCGTTGAAGATGACCATTATTGAACGGAATACCTTTTAAGAATATTCACTGAATCAAAACAAATTGTATGTAAAATATGAAATATATTTTCGATCTTGTTTGAATTGAAAGGAGTGTATTTTTAGTGGAAATTGATTTTCGTTCCCAATTTTCAATTTTGTTGTATTCTGAAAAGCGAGAGCCAAAAACAAAAATACTCAATTTGAATTTTTCGTCAAACATTTGGATAATGACATCTCGTTTTAATTCCATCACACCGTTTGATTGACCGTTGAAATAAACATTTTTATGTAATTTAATCTCTAATTCAGAGAGATCGCGAGATATTAAAGTAACTTCCTTAAAAATACTGTATTGAAAATATAAAGTTGAAACAACTTCACAGGAAGACTACTGAATATTGTATCCATTATTCCACTCATTATGTAACATACCTTATCATAGTTATGTGCATATATTCAATATAAACATGCCTTATCTCTTTTGTTGCTGTTATGATTTAGTACTTCAGTATCTCCAGCCAAAATTCAAGTTATTACTTTCATCAATGTTATTGTCAATTGGATAGTTCGTATTCTTGTGGGGATATCGAAAACTCACCGTAGGACAATCTTTTGCAGTTGTTCATGTACAAGTTTAATACATCAGAATATTTTCATTTGTAGTGTTAAGAATTGAAACTTATTCGAATTTATGAATTGATATGATAACATGAAATTATAATTATTTTCAGTGAGTGAAATTCCATTCTCATTCAATTCACTTTCTGTCTAGATGAGGAATAAACGTCTTTCATTTGACTGGTGAATAGTGAAGAATTATATTCAGAATTTGTATCCATACCGGCTATTTCTGTTATCATGTGGTAACATTGCTTCACTCTAAACTGTTTATGAAGACGATGAAATGAAAAAAAAAAGGTAACTATCGTGGGGAAAATATACAGATACAGTTTACCTTCTCGATTTCACAGGAAAAGCTAAAGATGTTGTTTTTTAGGAATATAGTTGTTATCTCAGAAAATATGAGAAAACGGAAAGTTGTATTGTATCGAAATATACTATGACGATATAACAATACATCTTTGATTGGAAGTTTCATGTCAATACGGCTACCATCAACTTTTATTTCAATTATAGACCTATTCATTTCATTATGAATATTGACAGTGGTATATCATATACCTGATATATTTATAGCAATTCATACAAAATGTATAACCTCATCGTTATTTTTCTATTACAATTTTGATTTTTCCTGAAATAACTCGAGGAGGGTCCAAGACACTGTGAATTTTTTTGACCATTGCACTGTTGCCCACGATAATTACCTTTATCAGGAAAATACTGCCTAGCAGTTTTCCAAAAAGTAATATGAGTAAATCAAATCACCAGAGGCCAACATCAGTAGCAAAAATATCAGTATCCTTCAGACGATAGTATTGTTATATTTGGGTTCACTTTCCAAACAAGCAAATCTGAAATGTAGAGTTCATATTTGACTGATAATAATATCTCTCACTATGAAGATGATCGCAAATCTGAAAAGATTGTTTAAAAGTCCAGCTTGTGACTCCTTCAATAGAAAAGAAAAGAATCACCTACCTTTTTACTATGACTTATATTTTTAGCTAACATGGAAATATATACAGTCAACTTATTACGTGACATCTTGGCATATGTTGCTATTTTCTTATTGATTCTATACTTATTATTCAAATGTCACTACAACTACTGGAAGGATAGAAATTTTCCATATTTGGTACCTTCGTTTCCACTTGGAAATAATAAACAATTCTGGAGCAAATTTCCTGGTCCCAATATGGATTCCATCGATCATTACAAAGAAATCAAGAAAAGGGGACTCAAGTTTGCAGGAGTGTTTTCTGTGATCCGACCAATTCTAGTTGTAGCAGATCCTGATATAGTCAAAGATATATTAGTGAAGGTAATGAAATCCAAGTTTTTTTACTCAAAATCAGAGGATTTGTGTGATTAAGATGATTAACGGTGTAAAGACATTTTGTCATTATATGTTTCATTATATTAAATTATTCTGAGTTATTCAGAAAATATTCCAGGAAAATTCTTGAACAGGTAGATTTTCATTTTGAAGTTATCATATGGTCATGGTGTTTTCCATTTGCAACTCCTTCGATGAACACAGTACCGCTGAAGCAGAAAATAGATAATTCCATAGAAAGTTCTTATGCTGTTCATAATCCAGCGTTATGATGAGAAACTATAGATCATTAATTCGAAAATCTACTGATCCAGACCATAAATGAAGATTTGTGAGGTATTCTATGTGCACTTCCATCAATCAGTACGGATATTGAACCCCCTAGTAAAGGAAACGTGGTATTTCAATGATACCATTCGAACGCAATGTCTTTGTGCAAAGATTGGACAAATTGCACGATGCAATAAAATTTCATTAGACAACGTACGGAGAAAAATAATGTTCAAAGGTCGAAAAACTGAATTTTTGGATCTCACTTCTCTGGAATCGATTATTTTTGGATTGTTCAAGTGGGAAGGATACATTTTCAAATTGCCCCAGATATATTATAGATGGATGGATTGATTCAATTTATCGGTTACAATTCTCAATTTGGATGTTGCCTTTATTATCTGAAAAAATTAGTATCTGATTTGAAATTGGACATTAATTTCCTTTGGAAAACAAACACACTCCTTTCGTCCAATCTCTCATCCTTATAGAAATTACCTGAAGAATTTAGCCAGTTGTATAAATGTCCAATTCAAACTTTTTTGAGATTATCTAATAGTTTAAAAAGTTTTCAACATGTAGTAAGCTAAATTTTTCCTGGTGCAGCTTCTTTCCTCAGGAGATGCGGTAATGTTAGATTAAAATTCATTAAGCATTTCCGTTCAAAGTCGTATAGGCTAAGTATTTCTTTCAGTTTTCTTCTAGTTTCAGAGGACTCCGAATATGGAATCCGAATATAGGATCGAAATATACTCTGCTAATTTGAATTTCTTCATGTCTTGGTGTTTAATATGATTCTGAATATCAGATTTTCGTATTATTAGAAATCTGAACACCAGAAAGCTTGTATAATTTTGGATGGAAATGCCAAATACCAAATGTAATTTTCAATATTCAGTGTGTTAGTTTTGAGGAAACTAATTCAAACTTGAAAGTATCTCTAATCTGATACTCATAAAAATATATAAAATTTTCAGGTGTAATTATTCTAGAAAGGGGACGGTCATAGTTCTCGAAATTTCATCCGAAAGAAGTATATTTTCACTTTTTATTTTCGTATTTTTTAGTATTTACTGCTGACATGCTGGATAGATGCCTATCCTACATTTTATTCAAACGCAGTATATTTTTTGTCCAACTGCTATTTTGCCTTCCTCATTAGACCATATCTTCCAGATAAATGAAAACCCATATACCTCAAGGGTACCTTATCTCATTTATTTCTAAAATAACCAAATTCCGTTCATTTCTTTCATTGGGGGACGCTTGGAGTGAATTTCAAATAACGAAATACGAACTTTAAAAAAAATGTACATTATTATCCAGTCATCATTTAAACTTCGATTCTTGGTGTTTTCCGAAGTGTTATCTCCAGAAAGTTGTTGATAATTATTTTTATAATGGTGAATTTCTTAGGACTTAGTATTTTGCTGACCGGGGCTTCTATAAAACCAAAGCTGACCCCCTCTCACTAACTGTTTTTGCAATGGATGCAGCAGAATGGAAAGAAACAAGAATAAGGCTGACACCTACATTCACTAGTGGAAAGATCAAGATGATGATTCCATTAGTCCAGTCAGTGAGTGAACAAATGATAACGGAGATTAACAAATTGGCAGAGAAAGATGCAGATATAGATATCAAAGAGGTAATTATCTTCCCAAAACAAAAATAACAAACGATATTGAGAAAATAAATTTATTCTCAACTTTGATTGAATATCATCAACTGGAAACTGAAATATTTGATGAATGTTTTTGTAGAGGTACCCATATTTTTTACATTAACGAGTTGAGGCTTCTGTTTGGAAAAATTTCTCAATAAGTTCATTTAGAGCTTGGAAAATAAATATATCAATAGTAGCATAACATACTCCCATGTTTTTTACGAGTTTCAACAAAGATATGAAAAGATTTGATGGATGAGTTCAGGCTGATATCGATCGTTGATGATCGTTGATGAGGGGATCTAACTTTGAGAATTTTTTAATGCAGAAATGATAGAGTTGCAAAATCAGATGAGGCTGTTTGTACTCACCAAACTTTCGACTCCTTGATATATGGAGAAGAAAGCTTGATTGGGATGAAACTTTGCCTTCAAGTTCATTACGAGTCAGATATGTTTTCGTGATGAGCTACAACTTTTAGAAAACTCAATCATGGCACAGAATAGTAATTTACGTAACAAGTCCGAAAAAAAAGTTTTTTGGGCGAGTAGTTGAAATTGAAAGTTCGCGAGTCCAATAAACTGAATTTGGATGTGTTGCATTACATCGTATGTTTCCACCATTATCAGTAAATAACGTAACTGTAGTTCGACGAATGATCTGGCTTGTGTAATTTTCAGGATTGGAAAAATGTGAGAATTCTGTGATTTCTTATCCGAAATTTTCTGATCTGTGAATACCAACAGGCTGAATCTGCTGAAAAATCTGTTATGTGAAGTATAGGATGGTCGTAACGATAAATATTGCCTGTACAATAGCAAGTTTTCTTGCCAATTTACAACAAAAGTTCTCTCAATAATTGTTTTGAAATCTGGTATTTCCACAAGCAACAAGTTTTTCTTATTGTTCATTAGTTCAATTGACATTTTTGTTAGTTCTTACCGTCTACACGTACCGCCTAACCCAATAATTATTGGTGCCTAAAAATAAAGTAAGACGATCGTAATATTTTGTTAGAATTGCCTCCAGCATTATATCTATATGTTTCAATTGAAATGGATATATTTTTAAGAGAGAATAATTTTTGGGAAAAAAAGGTTTTGGATTTCTACTTCTCCATCTTCATACAAAAAAATATAGGAAACTTCCAAAGTTTGAAGAAAGTAGTAAGACAAAACTTTCCTTTCTCAAAAATTGATTCCGTCTAGAAATATACCTCTTTCAATCCAAACAAGATTCCTATGGCTAGGATTTATTGAAATAACAGAATTAATGTCATTACGTAATGTCATCGATGACATGAGTAGATCAAACTCTATCAGTGACACAAAGTTGTGATTTTATGAATGAATTTAGTGTTTTTTTTTAATAATTTTATCCAGATTTGATAGTGAAGAGCCAATAAGGCAAGTGTCCTATGGCAAAACATCGGATGTTCAGTGAGGATGACAGAGTTACATGTCAGTGAAATTTCTATCTCTTTCATATTTTAAATTGAGCAGCAATCTTGTGAATGATATCTGATTCAATTCCATAACGGAAGTTTGGAATACAAACTGAATAGAGAAAAGTGTTTTTTGTATAGTTCAGTCTTCTTATAAAAGTAAATGTTTCGATAGTATTTTCCTATTGTGTAAATCAATGTTCATAGGAAAGTAGCTGTTTCGTATCTGAAAGTAGTTCGTATCTGAAAGTTACTTCTTTGTATGACCTTCATATTTTTGTATAGAGTTACTTTTTTTGAAATCTATTGCTTCCTTTCTTTCTTTGGAAGATTCCCACATTTGTTTGTATTAGGATGGAGGAGTATAAAGCCGACACCTTTTTTCCCATGTTTCATTATTTGCTTTCCTTATGCATTTGTTGATCTGCTCGCTGTTGAAGGCTTCTGATTTATTGATTCATGAATATTCTCTTAAATTTATAAGCATTCTCCTAAAAACATTTGTTGCTAATCGCATGACTGCCAGACAGGAGCTGAGTGATACCTAAGCTTGGCGTCACGTTCCTACTTAAGATAACTCCGCCGTCTGTGTATCGCGGGGTACCATACCTTGAATCAATCGAAATCTTTCAGAATTGTCCTCATTGGCTAAAAAAAGATTAATGTATGCTGGACCACAATTGTTATTAGCACAGATTCGTAGTCTAGCTAGAAAAACCGTACACGGGTGTCTTGAATGTTTCAGGCCAAAACTTCATCAATGATCTTCCTAAGGGACATCTTCTATGTTCAAGAGATTATACTTCACTTCCGTTTTTTATTTCGGCTGTTCATTATGCGGGGCCATTCAGAGTCAAGGGTAGGCAAGGTCAAGAGTGTAAGATTTCTAGGTATCCGTTAGTATTTTCCTTCGCTACGCTACAGGAGCAATTCAAATTGAATTAGTTTCTAATTTGAGTGAAGATTGTTTCTAAGCTGCATTCAGACGATTCATAGCAAGGGGAAAAAGCCTTCTCGAATGCATGCCGATAATGGTATAAATTTTGTTTGGGCTGTCAACGAACTCGAAGTTCTTGGCATATCTTGGTGCTTCACTCCTGCGGCATCTTCACACTAAGGTTTACTCTGGGAAGTAAGCTGTGAATCGATAAAGTACTATTTTATACATGTTGTTGGGCAAGCTCTGCTGACTTTCTAGCAGGTGTGTTGACTTCTGGTTCAAATCGAAGTAATCCTGAATTCTGGATCCACGCATTCCTTCCATTGTGACACTTCTAACCCCAATCCTATCAAACCCTCTCACTTTATTGGTCGACCGGTCGATCTTTGACTTCGATTCCGAATGAAAATCTACTGACGATACCCGAAAATCTGCTTCAACATCATGAACTTATTCAACAGCTACAGCAACATTCCTCATGTGAGTGGTCTATCGAATACATTTCTGAATCACAACAACGTAGCAAATGGCTTACAAACCAAATGAACATGAAAGATGATCTCGTTGTAATTCAAGAAGATTTTTTTTCCGTTCGAGTCCCTTGACCGGATAGTTTCAGTGCACTATTCGAGACAACGATGGACTTTTGAAATGGTCCTTTACCCAAAAATGTTTTCTTCGAAAACTGGACCTATAACACATTGAAAGCGGTATCTTTGAGGTGGATTTCAGTTGAACTGACAATATCATGTCAACTTAGGAAAACGGCGATTACGATAGTGATAATCTGGATTCAGAAAAAGGGTTCACCTGGAATACGTATATTTGGTATTTGGTAATTATTTCGAATCATTATTATTGAATTACATGAAATCATAAATTATCGAAGATGCTACAATAAACAGCTCCCGTGAATTTGTGAAATGGTTCATAAAATAATTCAAGTGGGAAGTGCAAACTACAAACTTTGCCGGAAAATACCACTGCAGTTCAATTTAATTCATATATAATACTTCTCAATTTTGAATGTGAATTATGAATTATTTATACTTGGGTACTCAGTATGATTAATGTTGGGGATTTTGAGTATAAAACTCCTTCAGTTCAACTTTTTATGCTATGAGGAGTATCTCTATTCATTTCAAATCCAATGATCATTGCTTCATTATCAATTGCTTCTAACAACATATGAGCTCTTTCTTAACAGTTTGTTCTGCTTTCGTATGATTTGGTTTTTAAAATTCTGTTCCAATTACTGTATTTAAACAAATTGCTGTTACATTTTTTCCAGGTAACTTTGACTTCTCATGTGCGTTTCGATTTTGTATTCCTAATAATGTAGTATCATATGCTGACTACGTATTCACTGAATAAACACTGCACACAATATTATTTGATTTTTGTTCACTGTTTTTTCAGCAAGTGCAGTTCTCAGGATGATCGTTATTATTGTAATTGAATGAGATATTTAATATATGGAATATTTCACTTCAGTACGATAATTATCAAAAAAAAGCTCTGTCGATGTCCCATCGTGTTTTGACCCATGACGATCTATCTTATTTCCGATGTATCCATTTTTTCGAAACTTTACCACGATGCGGATCTGTTAATTAGTGTAGAAATTGAAAATCGAATGAAATTTTCAATTATGTAATAACACAGTCATAAAAGTAAAAATTTTGATAGATCTATTGTCTCCATGACAACATGGAAATTTCAAATGAAACAGATGAAATCTTAACTTTTTCAATCAGCTCGCAATGATTTTCTCTGTCTCAGCTAAATATTCGCCATGAATGGTAGTCATGAAAATGTTTTAGAATCATAAAGAAGAGACGTTTCTACCTCATCTTTGAACAATTATTTTTTTAAAGGCGTAAATTTGTTCATTAGAAAAAATAGTACGCATAGGGATTCCGTTCGAGACCTCTTAGAGAGCGGACGTGTTTGTGGAGCAGAGAGATTCGTTGAGAAAAAACGTGAAAACATCGTAATTCAGTGAGATATGTACCTAAGACGATGAAATTGTGTCAGGGTATATAATTGGAAAGACCGTGATAGGACACGTGTAAGTAGTGAATACAATTTGTGATAGTGACACTCTGTGCATTTTGTGCATATTAAATGCAGAAATCGTGAGGTGAACGTGTTGTGTACAGTTATTGACACTTCACACTAACTGAAGTGTCAAAACAGTCTATAATAAATAAGCATAAACTTTCCGGAAAGCATTTTCCGTCGAAATCTTCAATTTCACTTATCAGGACGTCATAAAAGGCAAGAGGTATTTAAAATTATTCGAAAGTAACATTATTTGAACAAACAGCCAACAATTAGTTCTAAAAAGCGAGCTGATAAGGAACAAAGCGATAAGGTTTTTTCTCCTGAAGTAAAAGAAAAGGAGATAACCATTGGGATTCATTGAAATAAATGTGTATTAGCACAGGATTGAATACATATTGATAATTTACGATCAATATGGATTTATAAAAGCGGAAAAATACTACCGGGACAGGAGATTCGTCCAGCGATGAATCAGAAATTTTCGAACCGAAAACTAGAATTCCTAGGATACCAGAGAAAGAGGCCAAGAAG